GGAAACCCAAGGAGGGGTCGCTATGAGTCAGATCTGATTTGATGGCAGTGAGTTTTTTTTTTTTTTTTGGTTAGTCCAAATAATTAACTTGGGGAAAGAGAGGAATAGCTTTGCCCACCCCTTATACCTCAATGCATCCAAGGATTCACATCTCCATTAATTAAGTCACTGAAGAGAATCTGTTCGGATCCCATTTTTGCCACTTCTTCACTGTGTGACCCTGAGAAATGTACTTCATCTCTCTGGATCTCGATTTTCTCACCTGTAAAATGGGAATAATAGCAGCTACTCAGTCACAGCTTCCAAGAGCATAAACTGAAGTGCAGGCCCCTTAGCACAGTACTCTCATTCATTCATTCATTTGGCAGCAAGGCGGCAATTAGCACGCACTTTGCCTTGCATGAGCCTTCATGGATCTCAGTGAATATTTGTGGAATGGATGAATATTAAAGTACAACCTTGAACCAAGGGTACCCATGCAAACATTCCAGCAGGGTTCCCATCACCCACTGCCTGGGTGCAGGTCTAGACTCATTTAACCTGCACAGTCACCCAGAACCTGTGTCAGTAGCCCTGATTCACCGAAGGCATCTGAGGCTCAGATAGGGTTGACTTGTTCAAGATCACATGGCCAGTGGTCCCTGAGCTGGGATTTGAACCTGGGCATCTGGCCCAGACCACACGGTCTTAACCACCATGTCTTTCTTCCCCAGTAACTCCAGGTTAGTGTTGGAGGGGGTGGTGGTGATGCAAACATGGCCTTTTGTCATAACCTGGGAGCTTGTACTTGCTGCTTAACTTCAGTCTAGAAGCACAGAGTTGCAGTTTAGACCTAGGAGGACCATTGAAATGGTCGAATCCTGTCTCCCTCTGCAGGAGGGACAAGAGAGGGGCAATAGTGTCCGGAGGTCACACAGCATATGACAGGTCCCTGGCTGATCTCTCCTTCCTGGTGCTACAAAGAGGAACAAGGTGAAGAGCCAAGGCCCTGAGCACCAACAAGTGAAATGCTTTGGGAACCAGGGAGGCCAGTTCCTTGGGCACATCTCCAAAGAGGCCCCCACCCAGCCACACTTACTGCCCATGGACAATGCCCCTCTGTGGGAGGTCGAGCCCAGTGCCAGGGCTGGGGCCCATGTCAGCTCCTGCTTCCTGCTTCTCGGCCCTGACCCATTCGCTCGGCCAGCAGGTGTTACTGTGCCCCTACAGGCCATGTGCCCTTAGAACCCATGGCCCACCACAGCTCACAGTAGCCCTGCCCTGCTGCCCAGCCCCTCCTAGACTGCCAGGGGCCTCTCTGTCCTGGCCAGCCTTTAGGCCTTTGCTTGTCTTTTGCTAGGATTGCCCCCTCCACTCCATCTTGCCCTGGCTGGGCAGTAAGACAGTGGGAAGCCTCTGAACTCCAGCAGACATGGCTCTGTGCTTGACGCTGTGTGACCTTGGGAAAATTGCTCACTCCCTTGGAGGCTTTTATTTCCTTAATTGTAAAATAAGATTGTTTTGAGGGTTATGTAAGATACATGCATGTAAAGTGCTTGGAAAATGCAGTAAATGAAACATGCTGTTATTATTATTATTAGAAGTCTTTGGGTGGTATAAATGGTTAAACACTCAACTGCTAACTGAAAGGTTGGTGGTTTGAACCCATGCAGCGGCCCCTTGGAAGACAGGTCTGGGGACCTGCTTCTGAAGGGTCGCAGCCTTGAGAGCCCAGTGCAGTGCAGTTCTACTCTGCACGTGGGTGGCCGTGAGTCAGAGTCAACTGGACAGCAGCTAACAACCACTATGCTTATTTTTGTTATTGAAATAGCAACACCACTGCACTGACCTTCAAGCCCAATCCAGAGGCAATATCTACATAAAGATTTCCTTGATCTCTGCCCACCTTGCCCTGATGCCCTCTCACCCCTCTTTGATCTCCAAAGAACGACCTCTTTATTCTCTTGGGGCTTGGATCCCCCTCTGCCTTGAGAGATGTTCATCTCTTCTCTCCTTCCTTCCTCCTTCCTATCTCCGTCCCTTCCTCTTGGAAGAGAGAACCAT